TCTCACTTCCTTGTTTGCAAACTATGATTGAGGCATTACCAACAATAATTCTTAAAGAGGAATAAAAGAAAAAAAAAATGAAGATTAATTAATCTCTCTTCAATTTGTTTTGGGCTTTTGTTTCAGTAACTAGTCCTAAATCCTTCATAACATCGTCTTCAATAGTATCCATCAAACATTTGTCATCATGGTCAATCATATTAATACTCTCAGCAGCACTATTAAAACTACTCACAACACCTGTTATAGCAGCCATTGGATTTGTTTTTCCAGTTGGCATAGCCATTCCCATAGAAGCACTTATATCCATTACGTCATCATTTAAATCAAATAATCGAATGATGTATCTTCCACCAGCAAATATTAAAATATACCAACTCATACTACTAACATAAGACACATCAAGGTCCATTCCCCCAAGACCTTGTTGAGTAATTAATTTAAATCGATAACTCAATGGGAATGGCATTTTTAAAACAAGAAATCCATCGAACATGTTTCCAATCCACGTCATTAAGACTATTTGAATGATCATCATCACCATATTTCCTTTCATTCCTCCAAGCATACTTGTTGGATCCATTTGAGGCATGTTTGGAACTCCGTCTTCAGTTGGAGCTTTTTGAATCATTAAAATTCCATTATCATTATCTGTGAATTTAGTACGTAATTTCTTTACTGTAGAAGAGAATAATACAAAGTGTCTTTCACAAAAGAGTTGGGCTTTTTGAAGAATAGTTGCTTCTATATGGTGTGAGTATGTCTTATATCTTAAAAAAAGAAAATAAACAAACCCTGTTGAGCGCGAGGAGTAAGCTTTTCATCTCCACCTAGATAATTATTTATATAAGTTCGAAGGTAATTAGAACACACAGTAACAATAAGCAAAGGGATCAAAACCCAATCACGAATTTCTGGAGATAATGTGATAAAATTCTGATATGTCAGAGTGAAATTCATTAAATGAATAATTAGATGATTTATTATTTTATTATAAAAGAAACTATACTTACATCCACAAAAAAGTATTAGCATTGATTAGTTTAATCATCATTACTTGGTTGTTAAGGGTTGTCTGAATAGATAGAAAAGAAAACATAGTTATGAACAAGTTCATGATGAAAGAAAATTGAGTTTTTGTTTAAAGAAAAGGATGAATTAGTTTTAGAGAATCATCTCATAAATCAGATTTTATATGTCTAACTTACGAGCAGATTTTATGAATCAAACTGTCAGAGAAAAACAACAGATATTATCACAGTTAAGACAAAGTAGAAGAGAAGCTTGTTTAGCTAAAAGGCGTACTTCATTTGGTGAAGAAAGTGAAGAAGAGGTAATTCAAGGAGGACAACGAAAATTTATCTATATGCCACGAACTTTAGAAGAAGAAGAAATTACACCAACAGCAATTCGTAAACCAATTGATGAACTAAATAATTTTATTAAAAGACTAAGAGAAGCAAAAGACGATCAGGAATTATTTAATGTATTATCAGAAATTCAAACCTTTGTTCAGAATGGTGCTAACTCACAATCAATACTGATTAAATTAAGTGGATTATTAAATGAGCTCATTTCTCAAATACTAAACCCTGAACCACAAATTGCAATATTAACACTTGAAATATTAAATTCTCTGGCAACTGCCTCCAGTCAAAATGTTGATGATCTTATTGATGAACAAATTATAAATATATCTGCACAAGGGTTATGTTCAAATGATGTACGTGTTCAAAGAATGATTATTCATTTATTAGCTAATATAGCAGGAGACTCAGCAAAAACAAGAGACTTATTATTAGCAAATGCTATTGTTCGGGTAATTCTACAAATGGCTCAATTTTATAAACACTCAATACCAATGCAAATTGATTTAATGTTTTTAATTAGTAATTTATGTAGAAATGAACCATTTGTTGATTTTGAATCAATTAGACCATTAGTACCAATCATTCAGTCAAATATAAATAGTATAGCAAACAGTGTTTGTGTTGATGCCATGTATTCAATATCTTTCTTAGCACAAAACCCTGAAAATTCAGATTTCATAATTCAAAATGGGTTATGTGATGCTGCTCTTCAAATAATTGATTCATCTAAACATGAATGTCTACCACCATCATTAGAAACTATTAATTGTCTTATTCAACACGGAGATAAGTATTCAACATACATTTTTAATAAAGGATTTATCTTAAAAATAAAACATTTACTTAAATCTAATTTCACGGATAGTACAGTTATTCATATAGTTTTTGTATTATCTAATCTTGCTAATACCCCAAACCAATCAATTATTAAGAGCATTATTAATGATGTACTTTTTTCTATTGTAACATTATATTTAGAGTCTACATCTTTTAACCTAAAAACAGCGGTTTCATGGTTATTTGTTAATATTATATTATATTCTGAAGATGACAATATTGGTAATTTATTAACTAGTAGTGATTTCTTTGAAACTTATGTTAGTATGTATGATGCAAATGATGAGCAATTACTTCTTTTATTATTAAAAACAACATTAAAATTATGTAATTTTGATTATCGTACAAACAGAATATTAAATGTGGTTGATCAATTATTAGAAAATGATATCGACTCTCAGATATCAGCATTAATATCATTAAGTAATATATCAGAAGAGGTTGTTAAGTATGCGAATCTTGTTCAAGGAGCAATACGCTCAGCTGATGCATTTGACGCTTAATTCATTTTTTTGTTATTTAAAAAATATTTTTGATTAAAAAAAAATAATATTTGAACTAAGAAACTTAATGTATTTGGCTCAAAATTTCCTACGAGACTGTCTTAAAAGAAGTGGAGAACAAGCAATTAAACAACCCTTTTTCTTTATTGATTTTGGAATAAATTATACAACAGATGAAACGTGCGTTCCTATTGAAATATGTATTCAACCATTTACACTAGACCCTAACTCTGCACCAGTCAAACCGTTTCTTCAGATTATCAATGAAGTAGTTCCAAATCAATACCTATTAAGAGCTAAACAACATGCTGATTTTGAACATGGAATTACACCAGAAAATAATCCATCTCATCCAACTGATTTCTTATTACTTTGGAATACCATTAACAATTTTATTTGGACGTTTACAAAAAAATGTGGAGAGACATTTGTTCCAATAGTTATTTGTCTCTCATTTAGAAGGGGGGTTCAATGTATTGAAAATCTTGCAACTAAAGCAGGACTATATGACAAGATTGGTGAAAGTGGATTTATGCATGCACTTCCTTTTGAAGCGTTTGTGAAATTTTTTTATGAGTCACAAGGTAAAGTAGTTCCAATATCAGCAATTCCTAAATGTTTGTGTCCTTTACTTAGTTATATTCCTGAAACAAAGTACAAATGTAGTTTTCATTCAAATATTAAAACACGGTCATTTTGTTGTTGTCAGTCTAATGTAGCATATCTTGTTGGAGAGCTTACTTGTAATTTTAATCCATATAACCAATTTAATATATTACATTCAACGTCAAATGAATAATAAAAAGAAAAAGAATATAAAAATTGATAAAAAAGAGTTTAAATTATAATTTAATTATTGTTGAGCAGATTGATCATCTTTTCGTTGTTTATCAATTTCTTGTTTAGTTTTTTCAATATCCTTTATCATTTCTAAAACTGATTGGTAAGCAACATAAGCTTGAATAGTAACACCAATTTGGTCCCATTGTTTTTGGTCAATCATCTCATCATTTTTAAGATTTTCATGAACAGACTGATCTCCACATTTAAGCCAATCATTAAATTTGTCAATATTACTTATCTCATTAACTCCTGTTCTTTGAGATTGTATTTTTTGTTTTAAACTTTGAATTTTATAAGTTAAGTTTTTTATTGCTTCCAATTTATCTATAAGTTCTTTTTCTAAATTTCCTTGTCCATAACGTTTATTTTCTTCTTCTATCTCATTGACTCGGTTGAAAATTTCTTCTTCTTTAATCAAGTCTAATAACAAAGTTATAGTCCATCCACAATTTATCTTATTAGGAATTAATTGAACTTCTTCTTGAATCTTTTTTTCTTCTTCCTTTGCTTCTTCTTTTACTTTTTTTATTTTCCATTCACTTTCATTATTTTCAATGTCAATACGTTCACATTGAATATTTTCAGTTTCATTCCATACCCAGTCTTTATTCTCTCCTTTTCCTTTACCAATTGCCCCACAAAACATTTTTAGAGTAATTTGTATAAATTCATTTAAACCTTTTTTCTCAATTAATTTATGTAAAGAGTCAACAGCATACTTTCTCCAACTTTCATCTATAATAATAGAATATCTTCCTATTTCTATTGTTTCAACTACCTTTGCCCATATCTTTTCGTTTGAACCAATTCTCTTCAATACTTTAGCAGATTTTCCTAATAGGCTCAATGCTTTTCGTGGATTTTCTTCTGAGTAACTGGCAATAGTTCTTGAAATGCAGTCAATTTCTTCTGGTCCTAAAATTCCATTAATACTTTTTGAAATATCTAGTGCTGTCGTAAGGTATGGTAATGAACTTTTATAATCTTCTTCTTCACAATAAGTTACTCCAATGTTATATAATGTACACATTAATTCATGTTTCATTAATGAACTTTTAAACTCTTTTGTTTTAGTCTTCCAAATAGCCTCAACTCCGATCCATTTAGCACTTTTATAAATACTAATTAAACTAGTCAGATATATTATAAGTGCATTTAATAATTGTTTAGTTGGTTGTTGTCTCAATGTAGCATTTCGTTGTTCAGTTAGTTTACTAATTAAACTAATATAACTATTTGGTATTTCATATTTTTTTTGGATATGACTAGAAATATCAAAACACTCAGTCACTAACCTATTAAATTTGATTTTAATTTGTGGTTTGAATGTCATTTGTTACAATTTAATTTTTTTTAAGTTCTTTTCAAAGTAATAAAAGTATATTCATTAAAGAAAATGGAAAAACCATGATATTTCCTTTTAACATTTAATTTTTTTTTCTTTACGTTACCCACATTTTCTATCCACAATCCCTATTCCATTCTCTTCATAATCTTTTTTTGTAACCCATATATTTTGAATAGATTTGGTGTCAGCAATCATTGCTCCTCCTCTCCACGCTGCATATCTTTGGAGCGTTGGTGTTTGTCCCTTAATAATCTCACAAGAAAATGAAGGGAAATAAGTATGCATTGTATTTATAACTTTTTCTCCAAGGTTTGGGATTAAAGAAGTACCACCAGCTAGTATTAATCTATTTGATACTTCCATGATGACGTCATAGTCACATTTCATTAAAGACTTTAACACAGTATTATCTACACCAATGTTACTTTCATCTATCTATGAATGAGCACTTTTGCATTATCAATTAAGTTAACAACAAACTACTAAAGGAAATAATAACTCTCTACAATAACTATTTATATCAAATTGATTAAATGTATTGGGAGTTTCTTTTAATTGGTCAATAAATGAATCTCTTGCAAGATTAATATAACTCAGAGATGAATGTTCTGGTGGATTTGGAATAATGTTAATATTCTCTCTCTCCATTCTATTTACTATTTGTTGTGATAAGAAAATACCTGCGTGATTAAGTTGAGTTATTGAGTTTTCAAGAACATACCCTGAAAAAACTACAGAACACCAACAAGAAATATTTCCACATTCTAAAACTAATCCATTTGTTTGTCCATATGATAATGCAACTAAAACAGGAGATGGAGATGAATAAATTTTATCAATACCAAAACGTTCAAATAATAATTCATATGACTCATTTCCCATAATTCTTGGATGATCATTTGACTTAACCCATACAACAGAGTCACTGTTATATATTTTAAATACCTCTTCTAATGTCGAAATAAATGCCTCTTTATTTAATTCTCCATTTAATATACATGGTTCATAATCTTTCATGCATTGTTTTGAATTTAAAAAATTTGAATTAATATATTTGTTTTCTTGTTTATAACAGAAAGGAGACATTCTTAATGATGGGAGTTCTTCATTTGATAATCCTGCTTTGATTTCTTTTGTCCCTACATCTAATATAATCGTCATCCTTTTATATTTTTAAGTTCATACAGATTTTTCAGATGGCTTTATTGTGGGAAGAAAACACCTCTCTTTCTTCTCAAAGTTTAAATCAATCATTAGAAGAAATGATAACAGTAGAAGAAACATCCATTGAAGAAATAGTGCTATTTCTTTCCTCTCATAGTGTTTATCAACATTTTATGATGCTTGTTTCTTCATTAGACAAGTCTCAAAATTGGTCAGAAGAACAAATATATAAGATACAAGAAATATCTGTAAGATTTTTTAAAGAACGTCAAAATTGGTGCAGTGAATTACTCAAAAGTTGTCAACCAAAAGTCATTAATAAAATTCTTTCTATCGCAATGAAAATTAATAATCGACTCAACGGGTATTGTGATGAATTCTTTGATATTAATACGTTCTACAGTTATGTATATTATCAAATCTTTTTCTCAAAAGGAATTAGTTTAGAAAAACAAGTTGATGCATTAAAACAATTCAAAACTATTAGTCACATAGAAAAAGGAATAAAAACAGTTCTACAACATAATGAAATTATTAATAAATATCAGATTCTTCTACACTATTTAGACAAATGTTCATTACAAATGAGAATAGATTATTTATCATTCATTTATCAAAAAATTCAATTCACTGAACAACAATTTGAATTAATGTTACGGGAGTTATCTTTTAAAAATTATCAAATTGATATCTCATTATATTATGATATATTTAATCAAGACCATCTCACTATTAATCAGTGTTACTTAATGCATCTGGCTCTTCAATTATGTCATTCTCCAAAAGCAATTCACTTAATTTCATTGATATTTTCACTTTATTCAAATAAAACTTATGCAACAACAATTTCTCCTTCTTCTCAGTGGACTTTGACACAATACATCATTTATATTATTCGATGTCTTCCATATTCAACAAAAACATCATTACTATCTAATGGAGTTAATTTAAGAATTTCTTCACCAGTTAAACGAATACAAAAACTTGCATTAATCTTAATAAATGAAATGGAAATAAGTAATAAAGAAAAAAGAACAGATTATCAATGGAATATCAACTTATCTATTGAAGCTGATGGTATTGAAGATATAAAAGAAAGCAATATTCCAATTGATGAGAATATTCTCTCTACTGAGAATGAACAACAAGAAGATAAGAATATAATAAATAACGTCTCATCTCAAATTAAAGGATTAAATGAAAAAGAAACCTCTGAACGAAAAGTGAAAAAACCAAAACATATTATTGAATGGTTAGAATTGTTTGATGACTTTACTAATAGAACATATGAAGAAGTAGAAATGACATTAAGTATTGGAGTAGAATTGATTAAGAAATCAAATAAATTTGTTGGACCTTACTTAGAGGAGATTATAAGAAAGATATTAACAATTAAAAATATTTATCGGATAGAACAATTTGAAGAATGGCAAATTGCTATTTTATATGAAGTTGTTACCGATAAATCAATATATTGTAAAAAAAGAGGAAGTACTATTTTAATCGAAAAAATTTTAGTTGATAAAGATATTGTACTTAAAACAATGAAAAAATGTGGTTATTATCAGGACTGGATAGACCCTTTGAGAGAATATATTGTTCAATGGTGTTATGAAAATAAATTTGAATATAATATATGTCAAGCAATTGATTATCTCAAAGACTATGGCAATGCCAGTATTGTAAATGATTGGCTTATTCTCTATCAAAATTGTCGTTCAAATGATCGGGTAGTTCTTTCATTACTCTCAGGATTACTCCAAGTAATTTCTTTAATTTCTCCTGACATATTCATATGGAATTGTAGTGATCAAATCAACAAAGTGCTAAGTCAATTACAAGTTGATACAGTAAATCATCCAAACAAACAAATTAGAATGACAGCAACTGTATTAATGGACCAAATTACTACTATAGTTACCACAGAAATAAAGTCTGAAACACAAAAAGAAATTTTATTGTTTTAATTGATAATTAACTTATTTACTTTTGTTTTATTCATTGAGAAACAATATAACAATCAGAACGTAGTCCATAAAATACTTTTGGTTTTAATAAATCATTTCGGGTAGTAAATTTCCATCCAATATGACTTTCACAAGATTCACATACAATAATTTGCCAAGCATAACCTTCAAACCATGAAAATTCATAAGATGGTTGTGTTTCAACTCTCAGATTAGAACAGTGAATTGCTGTAGTTACAGTAAAAGTAAATCCTGAAGGATTAACATGATTTGAACTAATCCCACTTGTTGAAATTGAGAAGATATTTTCAGTTGGACAAAATATTGTTTTAATATTAAATTCATTACAACATGCACACTTTAACTGAGTGGATTGAATACAATGAATACATATTTTAATTGCATCTTCTACTGTTTGTGCTCGTTCATATTGTAATTCATCTTTTATAGATAATGGAAGATGACTATGAACTGCTGTAAGAAATTCGTTTGTGTCTTGAATTGATTCTAATTGTTCAGAAATTAAATCTCCTTCTATTTTTTTTATAAAATCAATAATTTGTTTTTTAGAATGTTCAAGACAATGTAATTTCCAATATTGATAACCATAACATCCATTATTAACAATCATTGAATATAAATAACTTATGTCTTTCATATCCGGAATAATTTCTACTTTTCCAATTGGAATTATTGTTTCTCTTCTGTTGTTTGTAATTAGTTTACATCGTTTAATCCCTTTGAAAATAATTGCAATTGAACTTTCATGATCTTCATATTTAATTACATTACCTATACATCCATAAACTTCTTTTAATTCACTCATTTCAAAACTATGTTCATTAATAATACATGCACGTAATATACCATTACAACTCCTTATTAACTGTCTAAATGTTCCACACAATCCTCCTCGTAAAATAAATGGTGCTGTTGTATCAGGCTGAAGAAATACATTCCCAATAATTAATGGAACAACTAATTGATGTTCTGTTAATTCCCCTTCATTCGGTGGGATATATTGCTGGCTTAATAAATAACTATAAGTTAATGGAGTTGTTTGGTAAGTTCTGTCAGGTTCATTATCACTTTGGTTAATACTCTCATCTGGTTCAACTTCTAGTTCACCCTCTTCAGTAGTATGTCTTATAATTTCTATCATTTGTCTTTGTAACAGAACATCAAAAAAATCTTCTTCATCATTACTCTCATCGTCAGATACTGGCTGATGGTTTTGACTGTTATTAAAGGATATATTTGAATTGTTATTATTCATATTAATCAATATATTTCTTAGTTTTGTTTTTAGTTTTGGTAGTAATAACAAAATTAATTTTTATGTTTTTATTTAAAAAAATAGAACTTAAAATTCGCTCATTATTTTTCTTATGTTATTCATTTTCATTGTATTTATCTCTTCAGTATTTGCTGGAAATGGTTTGAACGTCCAAAACCAATTACTTTTAATGCCATATCCAAGCTCAGTATCATTTCAATGGAAGTCACCATTAGCTATTGCATTAACTTCTTCTATTCAGTTAAACGTAAAGTCAACTTGTAATACTGATTGTATGAACTTTCTTAAATCAAACTTCAACCATACCATTTCATTCCCTTTACAACAACAAACAGGTTTACAAGATTTTAAAGTATCATTGTTTAAAGAGATAGATTTACCAAGAATAACTCCATCAGTTTCAAGTGTTATAACTGATGTTGTTGTAGAGTTATCTTCTTCAAATCCTATGCCAAAATTACAAATTGGATTTGATGAAAGTTATATTCTTGAAGTTACTACTAATAGTATTTCCATTAAAGCAGTTACAGTATATGGTGCACGTCATGCATTTGAAACATTACTTCAATTAATTAGAATTTCATCAAACAAATTTGTAATTTCACAATTACCAATTAAAATAAGTGATGCACCAAGATTTAAATGGAGAGGATTAATGGTAGATCCTTCAAGAAATCCATTATCTCCTTTAATGTTTAAAAGAATTATTGATACATTAGCATCAGTTAAAGCAAATGTTTTGCATATTCATTTAAGTGATGCACAAACATTTGTCTTTGAGTCAAAGAAATATCCATTGTTACATCAAAAAGGAATGTATGACGAAAGTTTTGTTCTCACACAATCTTTTCTTAGAGAATTAGCACAATATGGTGCTAATAGAGGTGTTATTGTTTATGGAGAAATTGACACACCTGCACATACAGCATCATGGAATCTTGGATATCCAGGTGTAGTTGCTAATTGTTGGGATTATATTGTTAGTACATCAATGAGATATGGAGAGAATGTCCTTTCATTAAATCCAGCTAATCCAAATACATTCCCAATCATTGACGCATTAATGAAGGAATTATCCGATACATTTGGTACTGATTATGTCCATGTTGGAGGTGATGAAGTATGGACAAGTGGATGGTCAAAGTCAAAGGAATATAGTGACATTCAAAAATTCATGAAATCAAAAGGACTCAATTCTCTTACAGAGTTAGAGGGATATTTTAATAAATATGCACAAGAACAGGTAATTCATAATGGTAAACATCCAGTTGTATGGGAAGAAGTATTTAAAAAAGGAAATGCTGATAAAAATACTATTATTCAAGTATGGGATGATATTCGATTACTTCAACAAGTTGTTAATTCTGGTTATAAAGCAATCTTTTCCGCAGGATTTTATTTAGATAAACAAATGCCATTATGTAATAGTTATGATTCTAGCACTTGTGTTAATACCCATTCGATGTGGGTATGGACTAATAGAGATATGTATGACAATGATCCTGTTAAATCACTTTCATCATCAGAAAAGGAAAATGTATTAGGAGGTGAAGGCTGCTCATGGGGAGAAAGTACTGATGAACAAAACTTCTTTGACAGAGTTTTCCAGAGATATTCTGCTATTGCAGAAAGGCTTTGGAGTAAAGAGAGTGTTGTTGACAAAGAAAGTCATGAAGTTCGTGCAAATTATTTAAGATGTCTTGATGTTAGAAGGGATATCATGAAAGGTACTGGACCGTTGTACCATTCATTCTGTCAACTTCCAAAGAAAGAGAAGAGTAATTGATTAAAGAACAAAAAAGTTCATATCTATTTTTAGATTAAAAGAGAGAAGAAAAAACAAAAAATAAATTAAAAAATAAAAATCGACTTTTATGAGAGAAAAAACTAAAAAAAGAACAATTAAAAATATGAACACTCAAAACAATACTATGAACGATGACAAATGTCCTTCAGCACGTCGTATTATTGACCAATTAAAACAAAATCAAATTGACGAAATTAATTTGTATGATAATCATAAAAAAACATTATTATCAATTTGCGAATATCTTATTGATTCAGGAATTAATTCTGATCTTTTTGAACAATGTTTAACACAACAAGTATTCATGGAATCAGACATTCCACAGTCTCTTCATAATAAAAGATCATTGGCATTTGTTATTCAATTTCTTGAATGTGTAGAACCACCATGTTGTGAAGTAGAGAATTTACCAAAAGTTATAGCTAATGTAATTCAAATTTATTGTTCTGATAGTAATGCAGAAATATTAAAAACTGTTCCTTCATTGATAGGAATAGTTGGAATGATTTCTGTATTTCATATGTTTGCGCGTTCTCAAATACAACCAAGTGAACTAAATCGAGAATTAAATATTTTACTTCCTGCAGCCTCTGAACAGCCATATGTAGCCTCGTCTAGAAAATATTGTTTAGCTGCTACAGAAGCATTATTAAAAGCACCACCAAAAGATGAAACAACTGATAGCTTTAAGTATTTATCAACTATACCTGACGTACAATATATTCTTTCTCGGTACCCATTAGATAGGACAATAGATCATATTAAACAATTATTATATCAATACAAAGAAAGTAGTATACAATCAACACTAAGAGATGTTTTCTATGGATATCTTGATGGTAGAGTTGTTTCTAAACCATTTTCATGGCCTACAACTGATTTTATTTCAATTAAAGAAATACAAACAGCTATGAACCTTGACTCATCAACATTTCAATCAATTGTATTAGGAGAAGACCCAAAAGTAAAGGAGTTCTTAACTCAACAACAACCAGAAACTTTTGAGACATTACAAAATCAACAACTACCTGCTAGTACACAACCACTAGCCCAACAACAAAGGCAACTTATGCAAGTACAACCTAAAATCAAACAAGAAAAAGAAGAACGTAATATAAAAAAAAAGGCATTAAATTCTAAAAGCCAAGATGCAACAAAACCAAAAATGGAAGATGATGAACATAGTAAATTAAAGAAAAAGAAAAGAAGATTTAGTGAAGAAGAAACACAAAACTTAATCGAAGGAGTTCAACAATTTGGTATTGGACATTGGAAAAGCATCTTAAATGCTTATAAATTTGATGGTAGAAGTTGTGTTGATTTAAAAGATAAATGGAGAAATATTGAAAATTCAAGAAATAGGATAAATAAACAAAAAGTCCAACCACAAGTATCTCAACCCCATTCGAACGCATCTATGTTACCTCCTTTTAATTCTGATAATTTTTAATTGATTTTTTTAGATAAATTACAAATGAATGAAAAAAAAAATAAATTAAACTGTTTTGGTTTAAGACAAATCAGTATTAGACACAGGAGGTACTACTGCTTCTGACATTTGTCTTTCTTGAACAATTGGCTGAATAACCATCTGTCGAGAATGAAAAACTTGTTGAGTAACTTGAGCTGGAGTTGTTGTTTCTTGGAGTTGGTCAGTATTTGAACTAGAAGGTTGTAATTGAGTTGGTTTATTTTGTGAGAGATAAGCTTCATCATATCTTCTTTTTAATGTTCTTGCACTAAAACGTATTTTTTCTAATACTTGTGGACCAAGTTCAGTTGTACTATTAATGACTTCAGTAACTATTTTCCATATTGCATCACTTTTAGCAAAAGGAATACCATTTGAAGCCATAATTTTACTAATTTCAGAAGTAACACGTTTTCCTTCGGAGG